GATTGTTACTATTTTAAGAGGACGGAACTATATATTATCTTCCTTGAAACAACATAATCACAAAACAAACACAACTATTTACATTTTTCATTTACAAACATGAACTTTACTTTATGTTTAAGTATTTACTAAATTAACTTTGTAAAGTCTATCAAATTTTTACTCTACTTTTATTTGTTTCGATTAATAACAACCACTTTATGCTACTCCACTAATAATCAGAAAAGATCATTGTCTTCAACATACTTACAACATCAAATTTCTGAACATAATCTCTTCATCAAGGCCACAAAATAAATCGTAACTTCTTTTATAATAACACCACTAGTATATATATATATATAAGATGCTCATGCTGTACATATTAGGTCTTTTTTTACCTTGATACGATGACAATGACAACTGAAGCCGCCTCCAACTCCAAGAAACCACGGCCATCATCATCATCGTTTTCTTCGTTGCCAGAAGAGGTTGCTTTAAAGTGCTTATTACACGTTCCGAGATGCTATGACCTAAACCTCTCGTTGGTCTCCAAAACCATGAGATCGCTCGTGCGCTCGCCAGAACTCCACCGTTTGCGATCCCAGCTGCTTAAGTCGGTCTATCTCTCTTATGATTTCTATTTCTATCAAATCGCGATGGATCCGTCCCCTAGCTACAGATGGATCACTTTCCGTCCGGGCGAGAAGACCACTGACTATCAGTTGGAGCAGAGATTCCCGAGACATTCTCTTGGTTATGCAGTCTCCGTGGGATCAGAGATCTATTTCATTGGTGGAAGAAGCCTTCCATCCACGAGGCTTTGGATCCTTGATACTCAATCTGGTCATATATGGACGGCTCCAAGCATGAAAGTGGGTCGGTCGGAGGTGAACAAAACAGCAGTGGGAGTGGTCGAAGGGAAGATATACGTGATTGGAGGAAGTGAAGAAGATAGCCAAGTGGAAGTGTTTGATCCACAAGCGCAAACCTGGGACTTCGTTGGTGAGGAGAAAGTGACATGTGAATCCCGGTTTAGTGCGTCTATGAAGCAAAAGGTTTATATGGTGAACAGGGATGGGAGAGTCAGCACGTATAGCCCGAGAGAAGGTATAAACAATGATGCAACGGAGATGCCAAGTGATGATATAATAAAGTTCGTGTGTGTTGTAAAGAATGTGCTCTACGGTTGTTTTGAGTGGAGTGGGTTAATGTGGTTTAACACAAAGCTCAAGGTTTGGAGAAAAGTGGTTGACCGTGATGGCAAGGATGGGAAGTTAGAGCTGTATTCATTTGCTGCTGCAAAAATGGTGGAATACGAGGGAATGATAGCGTTTTTTTGGCCATTATGTAATATTGATCCCTTTAAGGAAAATATTTTGTGTAAATTGATTGCATTGGATAGGCTAGGGGAAGAAATCCGTGGGAGAATTGAGTGGTCTGGTATTGTGGCCACATTACCGCGTGACATTGTTTTGAGGGATTGTTTAGTTGTTTCCGGTTGATGGACTCATTATATGATTTAACCTGCTATATGTTGAATGTTCTGAATCTTCTGATAGCCCAGACTGAGCAAATTATCATGTCTGTTTATGTTTACTAATTTTATTTTATTTGTCTACTGTACGACATACATATCCATCTTCCTTGGTTTTCTTGTTCAATCCTATTTATGTTTACGAATTACATTTCTGCGTCCACTGATTCGATCTATTTGAACCAATTCCTATGCTGTTACTTAGTCGTAATTACTGGTTTACCACAAACAAATAAGGCTTGAACCGCACTGTTGAGGATATATAGTCATCTTGTAATGCAAACCCAAGAGTACCATAACTAAGAGTCTCCCAGAGATTGGTACACTTTGGGGTATGTCTAACCTATTAGTCTCTCTTTTTGCTTGTATAAGTAGATACTGAATACAATGCTTTCTAGATCATTTTACTTCGTGGATTAGATTATAGATTAATGCAAAAGAAATATAATAAAATACCCACATCCATATTGAATATGCTTTATAGTTTTCTTTTCAAAATAACTTTGCAAAGTTCTTACATTATGAACGAGATCACAGAGTTACAATTGCTTAAATGAAGTTTCTACAGAATAAAAGATTCTCCGTGTAGTATACACTACGATTGAATTCAATCTCTTATCTTACAATTAAGGACTACCTTATTAGATTTCTTACTACTTAGGGAACACAAATAAAGTTTTTAAATAATATATAGTCAAAATGTCTAACTATATAAGGGAGGATAATGTTGAATGTATTAGTGTAAGGTGTTCAATCCTTGTCTACTGACTCGATCTAATTGAACCAATTCATACTCTGTTCCTTAGCTTTATAGATTTACCACAAACAAATAAATGCTTTACCGCTCAGTTAAGGATAGTCATATTAAACCCAACAGTATCATAACTAAAACCACTATTGTAAGAATCGGCCGGAAGCCATCCTGCAGCGTAGTAAGGAGGAAGGAGAAGCATCATCAACACATTTTTTTTTATTATTATCTTTGATAAGAGTTTACCAAAGATTGGTACGTAGAAGTCAATACTGTAGACGATGCTTTGTTGTTCATATGACTTTGCAGATTAAGATTAATGCAAAAGAAATATAGGAAAATACCCACATTCATATGTTTATATGAATTAAAGTTTTCTATTCAAAATAAAAATTTGCAAAGTTCTTACATTATGAACGAGATCACAGTTACAAATTGTAACTTAGAAATGCTTAAAATTGAAATTTCTACAGAGTAAAAGATTATTCGTGTAGTACACCACGACTAAATTCAATCTCTTGTAGCAGCAACCTCACGTCTTTTGACTCCAACTCTTCTTTGACTCTAAAGAATCCACAGTGAACTTCCTTTAATAAGCTCAAAACATTAACCAACCCACCGTTGCATTCACTTTCATCTATCCTCTCCTCAGAGTATGGCCTTGAACATTGGTCGTTACTCATCCTGAAATAGCAGTACCTGCTAATCTCAACCAAGTTGCTCTTGTGATGAGGCCACACATCACGTGTATCATCCACGATCAGCACACAGCGCTCATCAGCAAAAACCAAATCAAGTGTCTTCATGTAAGGACTCTCCTCTCTCGTTATCACTCTTTTACCGAAATAGATGCGCCTCGGATCGATCAGGTCGAGGACGGATTCAGCGTAATAACGGTTACCCATTGTGTAGACATGCATGTTGAACATCTTGCGAGCTTCTTTCAAGAAATCGAGGACAAAAGGACGTAGCTTTATCAAGTGCGCGACGGGATCATCGTCAGATTTCAAGAGCCAAAGATCGTGCCTTGAACCAGCTTCTTGGATTAGATACTTTTCTGCTTCGGTGAGAGAAGAAACAGTTGTGGTGTGGACAAGGGTATGGTCTAGGTCAAGGACTAATGGAAGTTTCTTGTCGCCCATATAAGAGAACTTAGTCATGAGGCGCTTCACTGATGCGACGGCCTCGTGGCGTATCTGAACACCGTCTTTGAAACAGTTGAATGATCTGTAGTGGCGATTTTCAATCATTGAATTACAGGCGGTGCAGACACCGTATTGAGCGTAGGTGTGAGGACATGGGATTGAAGACAATGATGAGTTGTTGAACACGGGTTCGATCCTCTGTCTTTTGGGGTTTGGTTCGAACACGGGTTCGATCCTCTGTCTTTTGGGGTTTGGTTCGAGGGAAGGAGTTTCGAATATAGACATGGTTGAGAATTATCAGAGGATTGATCAGAGACGAGAATCAACAGAGAATCGTGGAATCGAGCTACGACAACTAAAACCCTAATTTTGTTGGAGAGGAGAGTGTAGAATAACATAACACGAAACAGATGTTCTAATTTAGACCATCTTTATCGCTAGGTTCTTAGTGGGTTTTTAGCATAATAAAACATTTAACTAAATCAAAACAAAAACAAAAATTAGATAACCGATCCTTAATAGAGGTTTTGGCAACCGATCTTTACGAGAGTTCTTAATACACGTGTCAACAAATTGTGAATTATAATTTTTTCTCTTTTTTTTTTCTCTCCTTTCTCTCTTCTTCTCTCGCGTTCTCCGTGTCGTATTTTTGAAGGGAGAAAAAGAGCAAGCAGAGGAATACTTTTCGCTTCTGATGCTCACCACCGTCGCTGCGTACTACAGACTGCCGTGGAAATTGCCGGTAACGGCAGTTTATCAATCTATCTCAAACCGGCGTTTATCAATCCAATTCTCCCTCACATCAACGAAGTCTGGTTCAATCTTAACCTCATCCACAAGGTAACCTCAATAATTCGCTTCTCTTTTATGTAATTTCTGGAGACTTTATTAGAAGAATTCAAAGTTTGTGCCTTTTCTTTCAATTTAACTTTTATTTCTTGCTGTGTGTTGTGATGAACATAGCACAATGACTTGAAACGTTTCTTTTTATCACCGTTGTCTGGAAAGGTATCAAGCTCGAGACATCCATAGGAAGCAAATTATTTTGGAGTTTGGGGTTTGTCTATATTTTTTTTTTCAGACACAATGTTGGGACTTTAGAGAGTTTATTTGTCTGAATTGCGACCATTTTAACTAGTGGTGGGAGTTTGAACAGTTGGGGATCTGATTTTCAGTGTTTTTATTGATCTGCTGCAGAGATCATATGTTCACAAGAAGAGGAACAGAAGAATGAGGGAGAAGCAAGAGTTATTGCGTGGTGTGAATGCTTTGGCAGCAAACATGTTTACGGTATTACCTCATCTGTGTGTATTTTTTTTTTTATCTTGCCTCATCTGTTGTTTGTTTCTGTATGCACTTGTAGCCCCTCCTCTTTCATTATTTGTAGAAAAATTGGTTTGCTTTACAGATTGAGCTTCTTGAAAAAAGTACATACAGATTTCTGCTTTGCTTCTCCCATAAGCTGAAACTCTGTCCTATAGACCACTGCTGGTTCTTCTTATGCTCATAGTATTAGCTTCTTCAGTTACTAGAATGTTCTTTGTGAAGAAATTAGAAGGTAATATTTGTTAGTTGTTCCTCTTTATGAATAAGATTGCTAGAAGCCTTTGAGTCTCTGTTAGTGGGTTCCATTAAAGCTGAACAATTTGTAACATTGTTGTGTGTGTATTTAGCTGTTAATTGAGTGGAAGCATGAGCTTGATGCTGTGGAGAACACTGAGAGGAGAACTGCTAAAGGAAAGAAGATTATAGCCACTTTTAAGCAGTGTGCTAGGTGTCTTACTCTTCCTTCAACTTATGCAGGAAGAAGGTTATAAATCAAAATCCCTTTTCCTTTTATTGCAAGTTCTTGGCTTTGCTTGTTGTTTGGGTGTGAAACATATTAGTAATGAGAACGTTGTGTACTTGTTGTTCAAGCTTATATATAAGGTAGCAAATTGTTATATAGTTAAAAAAAAATTTTTTTAAGAAACTTAAATTAAGAAACTACCATTGTATGTTAAAAATTAGGTGATTCTTAACTAAAATCCTTAGCTAACATTTATTAGTTAAATAATCATTAAAGTGTACTTAAGAAACCTTATGTGTTTCTAGGGATAATCATGCTCTTATAGAGGGAAGAGAGAGACTCTCGCTAGGAAAAAAGGAAAGTGGAAAATACTGGATTGACCATTATGCCCTTATCCGCGTTTTCATTTATTCAAGAGCGCGTCCAAATATCTCCTAATTGTGACTATTGTATGATTTTTTTTTTCTTTTTAGTTTGATTAATTTCAATTCTCTATGGTTTTTGGGTTCTGGGCTTTTGCTCACTTTACTAAAAACACAAGTTGGTGATTTTTGAACGTTACCTACAAATACAAACTATTAATAATGTAGGACTTATATAAAGAAACAAAAGGAGAGTTAAAGAAGTTTTTTGTAAGTGGAAATCTTTTGATCATGTGGTTTGATTAATAGTTTACTAATAATGCTTATACAATTGAAGGTATGCGTTTCCTCTTTCATATGAAAGGAAAGATCAATTATATGGATTATATTGAAGAAAAGAGATCACAAACTTGTAAAGTTTCTACATAAAAAAAAAAAGAAGATTATTTGTCTACACGATTGGACTCTACCTCTCGTAGCAGCAACCTCACGTCTTGTGACTCCAATTCCTTTTCATCTGCGATTCTGAAGAATGCACTATGAACTTCTTTGAGTAACTTCAAAACATTGGCTAATCCACCGTCGTTTTCACTCTCGTCTGTCGTCTTCTCCTCAGACTATGGCTTTAAGTGTAGACCGTTGCTCATTCTTCTGAAATATTTGTATTTTCTGATTTGAATCAAGTTACTCTTATGATCAGACCATACATCAGGACTATCATCCACAATCAATGTTCCACGTTCATGAGCCAAAACCAAATCAAGCGTCTTCATATCAGTACTCTCGTCTCTTGTTATCACTCTATCCCCAAAATAAATTTTCTTCGGGTCAATCACGTCCAAAATTAAGTTAGCTTAACCGCGATTTCCCATTGTGTAAACACACATTGTGAACATCTCGTTGGCTTCTTCCAAGAAACCGTGAACAAATGGCCGTAGCTTTGTCATCAAGGACACAATGGGAATATCATCATCGCCTTCGGTTGTCCACTCCCACAGATCATCCCTTGTAATTAAAGCCGCTTCTTTGATCAGATACTTCTCTGTTTCGGTGAGTCGTGAGAGACTAGCGGTGTTGAGAAGCGTGTGGTCCAAGTCAAGTACTAAGTGAAGTTTTTTATCGGTGGAACAAGAGACTGATGTGGTGAAGCGCTTTGTTACAGCTACAGCTTCGTGGCTTAGCTGTAAACCGTTGAAAAGGTAATCGAATGCTCGGCCTTGGTTTTTGTCAATAGTTGATTTGCAAGTGGTGCAAACTCCGTAACGAACGAACCAGTTACCACATTCACATCTACTAGAAGAGGAGGACTCGTTAATGATCCTCTGCTTTTTGGTTCTGTGTTCCAGAGAAAGATTCTCAACAACAACAGACATTGTTGTTTCTCTGAGAATTGATCAACAAAATAATCTAAGAAATCAAGTAGTTAAAATTACCCTAATTTGATCATAAATATAGCTTTGTAGAATCGAAGGTATAAATTTAGGAAAGCTTCTAAAAAGAAAATTATTTTGAAATTTTGTGAATGTTTCTTTAAAAAGAAATCTCTATTATTAAAAGAGAAGTACCCACTAAAAAATACCCCTAAGTTTTCCAACTTATTTACATTCATATGCCACTGAGAATTTAATTAAACTTCCTATTTAAATGCTTGTCTTTTTCAGTTATATTAATTAAACATCCTATTTAAATGCTTGTCTTTTTCAGTTATATTAATGAGTTATTTAATCAACCAAAAAATACATGCATCACTAACATGTCTTTTTCACGTATATTAATGATAACTCATTTACTGCATCACTAACAT